TTTGATGGCCACTTTGGTGGAAGTGGAACTAGTAAATAATAATTAAAAAAAATTGTTTATAAACTAAAGAATATAATTATGATATTGATGATATGAGTCTAACCAAATTAATGAAGCTGAAAAGATTAGTGGATACCTGAACAGATTAGAGATAATATCATTTTTTTTAAAAAAATTTAAACGCCAATTGTTTTTACTTTACTAAGATAGTACTGTCACATAAATAGATCACAAAGCATAATTAAAATATAAAGTTTATATGATCATCCATTACGTTGAAAAATAAGTAACGCACTGATCAATACTCTCAATATGTATCAACATTTCGATTGCTCCAAGTAGTCCCACCTTAGCAGGTATTTTAACTTTTATTAAGGTTTCAAAAGAGGTACTCGACGATTAACTTGAAATATTAATTCCTTATTATAATAGGATATGGAAATAATAATTAAAAAAATATGGTTATTGGATAACAAATTAAGGAAGTTTAGGGATCACGGGTCGTTCCCAACTTTCCCTTGCCTACATCATTAAAAAAAATAAAAAAAATAAAAAAAGTCATAGTCCTTTTTTTATTTCTTTCCTTTTTTGTTTTTGAAAAGTCACTTTTCTTTCTGTGTGAATTGGTAAAACTTGGCTTTTAAATTATTAATATTGGTGGGGCGAAACGTGTTTAATGTGTTGGGAAAATTTTCAGAAGGCATATTATTAAATCAGTTTCTTTGGTCCGTCCACAACCTGAAATTGCCTAATTTACTTCAGCTAAAAGTTTACCGTACTCATTAATACTCGATACATCTTTATCTTTACTCAAAAGCTTTATTTATCAGCTAGACATAACATGCATGTATTGTATAATCTGTTCTTGTGTCAGCGAAAAATCAATGAATTGTGTCAGTAGCAGGGAAAAACAGAAGTTCTGGAAAGAGAGACATCAATTAATTATGCCGTCATATATTCACCGTGGACCAATACTTTTCTACCATGACTATATATATATATATATATATATATATATTTCCCTAGAAATAATCCTTTGAAGTTTTTCTCATGAGCATATATATATACGACAAATACATGTGTATATTGCAATATCCTTGGATCACGAACGGCAATTATTGGAGGTCCCAACGAATTTATTTATGCCTTATTTTTTATAAACAAGTATGATCCAATATTGTCTCACACCCTACGCTTTGATTGCCCTTCCACACTTGGTATGTCATGGCCACTTGGAGTCAATCTTCGGATTCTGCCTATAGATCGATTGATCAACCTCTTTTTTTTTCTTTTCCTTTTCTTTTCTTCCAATTTAACAAGATAAGCTTAAACAATCACTAAAGACTGTATATACCAATATATTTGGAACCTACCCCTTTTCTCCCTATACATATATATTATATACATACATATATAATACAACATAAAAAACATATAAGGAAAGCTGCAGCCCAAAGATTTCGTGGATACGCTTACGAGAACTTGACATGTTTAATTCTTTATTATAAGCATATAGTAAATTAATTAATAGAGTGGTGTCCACTCCCTCAAAAAAATAAAAAAAAAAAAAAATTGTGCTGTCTTCAGTTCGGGATTTTCAATTAATTTTTATTTATTTATTAAATTTACATGCTTTCGGAATTTCGGTAAGTATAATTCTATTACGATATATCGTTATATGATATGATAAAAACAGAAGAGAGATGTTTGTGGATGGCAGTATTTGACATATGGGCACCATTAGTTTAGATTTAAAAGAAGAGAGGATCAGATGAAAGTGAAATGATACACATGATGGGCAACCTAATCCATATATTATATATAATATACATATATAAGGCAAAAGTAGAGATACTATATGTATGGTTCGTGATATCTGGAATACTAAAAACCACATACAATGCATTAATAATAAAATGAACTGCAACCACTTCTTTTTATGTTGACCCATGGGTGATCAGATACCTGACAATGCTCGTGAAAATCCCCAATTATACAAGTATGACAGATACATACATTATTTAATCATGTGAAATGTCACACCTATTATTAAAGGTGGCAATTCATGTTAGTGGTTCGCGTTCGTATCAACTCGTTTATTAATCATGTTAAAAAATATCAACTCAAACACAACCTATTTTTTAAATGTGTCAAAAATGTCAACCCAAACACAACTCATTTATTAATCGTGTCAACCCGTATAACCCGTTTAAATTAATATATTGAATAAATAATTAATATAATAATGAATTATTTTAACATGGTCAAAACAAGTTTAACATGTTTATTGGTCAATTTATCTTTTCCTTCAAAAATTATTTTAACACGGTCAAAACAAGTTTAACATGTTTATTGGTCAATTTATCTTTTCCTTCAAGAAAAATAAATGAATTTTACGTACAAATATTAAAATTCACATTATTTGTATTTAATATGTCATATAAACTTTCATGTTATATCACATATCATTAGATTGCAGAATGCACATATAGTTAATCGTGTCAATTCGTGTCACTTCGTGTTAGGAGGTCAACCCTAACCCAACCCATTTATTAATCGTATTAATCGCGTCAACCTGATTATAACTCAAACTCATTTATAACAAACTCAAACCCGCTAACTTCGTGCGAGTTTCTCATCGTGTCGCTACTCAAATTGCGAGCCCTACCTATTATAATTGACTACTGCAGCTGGCCTTATGTGTTTTGCTTGTCTGGCCTCTCCCGTATGATGTAGGGAGTTTTAGATATTAGTAGTCGTTTTTATTTTTAATTGTCGTTTGTTCTAACTTTTTAATTTAGCTTAGTTTTGTTATTATTGTGTCGTTTATCTTAGTTAGTTATTTTGTTATCGTATTCTAAGTCACTTATCTATTGTATTAGGATGACTTTGAATATTTTGAGAATTGAATATTAGACTTGAATTTTCTCTTAAATTTGGAGGTTTTTACCTTAATGTGTTCTAAATCATGTTCTATCTATTCCGCTGCATCACCCTCGATCCAGCAAACCAATTTTGATTTTATTTTTATCTAATTCTCAGTTTCACATGTGCACCACACCTTTTCCACTTCTAATTCACCATTTTTAAAATAATAAAAAAAAATTAATCTGTTTTAGTGGTCAGATTTCTCCTTTGTCGTTGTTGTGGTTGCAGTGGTTGTTAATATCTGTAAAATTTTACACGAATCAATCTCCAATATTACATAAACTGCACACCATACAACTTAAAAGATCAAAAAATAAAACCCCACGTGACAGTCGCTCCAATATTGACCTTTTTCCAACTATACTTTATTGTATTCAGAGCAAAAAACTATACTTTAATATTTTATTTTGCTAAAAATAAACTTTGTTTTGGTCGGCTAACGTTGCACATGATCTGCGTGTTGATTGACTAGTCTATACATATCATATGCTCCTAATTTGTAACTTCTCCTCTCTTTTCGTTTGGCACTTTGCACTGCACAGTATCTAATTCAGTCTTTTTTTTTTATTATTCTTTGAAATTAATACGATATTTCTTGATGATCTATTTTCACATTAATAGACTCGCTGATCTACTCTTTGTATTAAGCCTCTGATTTTCTTCTTTTTTTTTTCAATAACAAAAACATAAATATGAAACCCTGTAAATGAGGAATAAATTAAATATATATATGAGATCAGTATTGGGCGCTCTATGCATTTTATTAGCTGAAAACCAGTTAATTAACAACATTAACGATGAAGAGGCCTGGGAATGAGGCCTTCACTATATAAGACCTTTCTTGAAATTGGGCCGTAGGCGTAGCTCACTTCCATGATTTTCTTGCCTAATAATTAAAAGAGTATGTTATATTTGCACTCCAAAGATTTATTCTTTTATAGATATAATTTTCTTAATACTTAATTTAACCCTTTCATACCCCCACCTAATTTTAATCTTAATTTAATTGATAAAAAAATATAATCACTTTCAACTATTAATGGTATATTTCTTATATATATATATATATAATTAATGCAATCTTCTTTATCTTTATTTATCAATTGCCATCGTCCTATCTCTCTGGTTTTTTTTTTTTTTTTTTTTTTTTTTTTTTTTTTTTTTTTCATGTTGTTCATAACCTCCATAACACAAAAACAAGTAGATACGATTAAAAAAACATATATATTTTTTATAATTAATGCAATTTTCTTTACCTTTATTATCAAATTTCATCGTCCTATCTTTTTTTTTTTTTTTGGTTCATTAAAAAAGAACGAAACCTCCATAACACAAAAATAACTAAATGCGATTGAAAAAAGAAAAACATATGCACAATAATGTTGCATAATACAAAAACAAGATGCGATTAAAAATTATATATATATATATGCACAATAATGTTGATGCATATAATTATACTGAACGACTGACTATTGCATATTCAAAAGATGACAAGTCCCTACGAGTAGATTTAAACTTCGAGAATGGACGCCTCGTGCTTTTGTCTTCACTTCTGGTTCAACAAGAGATATTCGAGAGATGTTGAACATTTTACTTGATGCCAGAATGGAAAAAAAATATATAAATAAATAAATAAAAAGAGAAAAATAAAGGGAGCCTTTACTTGTTGGTAATGTGCATAACTGAGTTTTGTCCATACGGAAACAAGCTTATCTTTGTACTTGCTGAGCCAAATATCTTTCACATACTTTTGATATATAATAAAATCTCTTTCAAGAGCTCTGTACTCCACTTCTGTACATGATTTTTAAAGATGAAATTAGCTTTAGTTAGAGATGTGGGGTGTAAAAATACTTTCTAATATAATTAATGTGGGTGTATGTATGCCCTTTTACTTGTTTAAAAAAAATATATATACTATTTCTATTCATCGTTTATTTATGGTTTATGTGGAGATAATCAATTTTAATGTAATTTTATTACAGGGTAAAATTGTAATAAATATAGATGGTGCAAATATAATTACTCTAATTGAAAAAGACCATTTAAAAAAAAGGGGGGCTGCAATAGAAGTTGTAATGAACTCATGTATTGGATCACTGACAGATCCATTCCAAAACAGTCCATCCATGATGTCTTTTGTCATAAACCAACCATATATAGTACTCGCAAAATAAGTCGAAAGGAAAAATTATTCGTAACATAGAATAACATGATAACACAAGACACATTCATGCACCCTATATATAAAAAGACGCGCGTCAAAACAAAACCAAAACATGCCTGCAAAATATTTAAAGGGATTACGTATCATATATTAATGCATGGTAGTACGCCTTATTGATCTCAAAATTAAGCTCATCAGAGCTCCTCATCCCTCCCTCGGCCACCGCCGGCAACCTTATCCTTGAGATGTTGCGTTTTGTCCTTCGTGGCAGCACCATAGCCCTCCTCTCCCTTCTCCTCCTCCGCTTCCTCCGCCTTCTCCTTTGCCTTCTCTGTTGTCTCGTTCAATGTCTTGCCTGCCTTCTTGTCCTTGACTTCCTTTGCCGCGCCGGTCGCGTCGTAAACCTTCTCCTTTGCCTTCTGAGCACTCTCGTAGGCCTTCTCTTTTGCGGCTTTTGCGGAGTCGTAGGCCTTCTCCTTGGCTTCGCTTATTGTTTCGGCTGCTCTCTCTGTTGCCGATCTTCCCTTGTCCGCGCTGTACTCACCAGTCTCTGCGCGTGCATATATATATATATATTTATATATACTCATGCTATTCATTCACATTCATATTCACATATTACTTTGCTATTGACTTAACCATTTTGTTAACAATAAACTAAACTAAAATTACCAATAAACTAAACTGAAATGAAACTCATAAAAGTATCATTATAAAATTAAATTTTGCCTTCTTTTTTTCTTTTTATTTTTTTTTTATTTTTTTTATTTTTAAAAAGGCAACACATCTTGTTAACAACAAACGTAACAAGGATAGTCACGCCCAAAACACATGCGAAGCAAATTATTTTCAAAGTTCGTTAGTACGTATTATACATTCAAGTCTCCAGTTCTCAATATTAAAGTATATAATATATTATGACCACTAACACAATACAAATAACATTAATTTATACAGAATCAGCAAGTACTTGACAGAACAATCTCTATTATCGATTATAGAGACTCAGTAATATAAAACTCAATAAAGAGGGATTTTTCTTGAGCAAAAGCAAAAATTAAATAAAGCCGGATTTTGGAGAGTAGTGATTAAGAACTTGTTCGGTTCGTTAATTTAAATTTTTAATTTAGGTTGAAATGTGATATTATATGAAAATTTTTTAATTAGATATGACTATTTATAAGTGCTTTTAAGAAGGGAAAAGAACATGACATAAAAGTAATTGTTAATTACTATTACCAGAAGCGACCTCCTGGATCTTGCTCTTCTTGGCAGTATCAGAGACAGTATCGGAAGCTTTCTTAGGCGCATCTTTGGCGTCAGCATCCTTATTATACCCTAAGCCTTCAGAGATCTTCTCTTTGGCCCATTCCGTCCATGTCTCCGAAGCTTCGTTGGCCTCTTTAGCCGTCTCCGCCGCCTTGTTCTGCGTCTGCTGTGCCCTCTCCTTAACCTCCTCGAAGTCACCGCCTTCTTCGGTTGTGGACGGCATGTGCCCTACGCCGGAACCGCCGCAAGTACTAGCAAAACTGGCGGCTATTATAACCATAACCACCACCGAAACATAGAAGAACCGCCCGAAACGACGCCGTTGCTTGCAAGCCATTATATGATCAATACTACTTTATATATGTCACACTATTTGATCATACACAAGATCAAGATCAATCACCGGAATATATAAGGGAAAAAGTGTTAGTGAGTGGATCAATTTTTGAGGAGGCGAGGGTTGGGTTTTTAAAGTAAGATGATGAGTTTCAGAGTTTGGTAGACAGAGGATGCATCGTGGAAGTACACGTACGAGGTCTAATGCAAACGTGGGGAGTTTAGAAGGGTTTAGATACTGAGACGTAGCCACGTGTCCCAACAGATGTCACCGCTTAAAAGGAAGGGTGGGTGTGTGTTTTTGTCAAAATCAAATCAAAATACTGCATCAAAAGTTGTCCAGTCCAGGAACGACGAATTGCTTTTTCCACAACATTCTGGTGTTTGCCAAATGTCAAGTACTATGAAATTTGTTTTCCCTGTAAAGTAGTGTCGTTATTATTGTTTCTACTCATGTCGTTTTCTTCCTGGACACTGTCGTTTTCATGGGTGCCTTTCTTCTTTCCACATGACAGAATTTATAACGTAAAACATAAAAAAAAAAGATGGAAATGTAAACAAAAGAAAGGGACAAAGGACACCAGTTTGCTTTGCAGTTGCACGTATTGCAGGCGAAAAAGGCTTCAAAATATGAAAAGAAATAATACGTGTACTTCATTGAAACTTTGTCCACCGCTCCTACTTCACAGGCAAAGGCGACAAACGAGAGTTTCAAGAAGAAAATAAAAAAGACAACTAACATGATAAGCGACGAGGTGGGAGGCAAAAAATAATGAGATAATTCGTCAACCAGAGTGTGTTTAAAAACAAAAAAAAAGAAGAGAAATAGTACCCTAACCTATCAATCTAATCTTAAAACTGGCAAAAAGCGCAAAAATCCTAAAACGTCCACGAAAAAATGTCAGGAGAAGAAGCATATACATCTGGACGAAAAAGCAGAAATCAAGCGCCAACCTACTTTACAAATAATTGCCTAAGAAGGTGTACCAGAGTGTAGTTACTACTAGGAGGAAATACTAGGAAGAGGAAGTGTAGTTTTGCAAGTCTTCTTATTGTGCCCAAGGCCCTTGCAGTTGCTACACTGGAGCTGTCGTTTTATCATGTCTAATGACTCGGGCTGCTTCATCTTTGGCCTCCCCGGTGGTCGTCTAGTAGGCGGGGGTGTCACAGTTACCGACAATGCCTGACTTGACGACTCTGTCAAAGGCAATGGCTTGTCCACATCGGGAACGGGCTGAATCGACTCTGCAAAAGTCGACCGATAACTCTCCACAGTGAAGTACCTAGAACAATAATCATAAGGGTTTCTTCCTGTCCATTCCATAACAGCAATTGCATGACAACAAGGCAAGCCCTCGAGCTGCCAAGCCCTGCAGCTGCAATCCCAATTGTCAACATCGACAATCTCCACAGCTTCTCCGTGGACCTCAAATGTAGAGCCTCCATGAGGTGACATTGACACCTGAAGAGTATGAGCAGTTATAGTTTCCTTTTGAAGCTTCTCTTCCCTTAAAGGTGTTAGCTTTGTTGTCCACTGATTCGACTCGACCCTTCTTGTGTAGATTGACTCCATCATTTTGCCTCTCAAAACATCAATCATTTGTGTTATTGGAAGCTCATTTGCCTCTGACACCCAACTGTAGAAGTTCTGCCCAAACCCTGATGTCATCAGGTTATACCTAGCCCCTCCGAAGAAGGCATTGGCCCAATGATCAGGCTCGCTTTGGATGACCCAGTTGTAAGCATCAGGAGAAATACCCTTTATGTTCTCCACGCTTCTTTGGAAGCCTTCAAGTTTCGGGGAATAAGCAGCAGCATAGAAGTCGTTGATCAAGAATCTTCTTGCCTCGTGAGAGAATTGCCCTTTTAAGTCCCTGTTGAGCTTCTCAGCTAGATGGCGTACGCAATATCCGTGGTAGCATTTGTCGAATACCTCGGCCAATGACTTCTTCAAGCCGTCATTGAAGTCGGCGACAAATGTCATCTGCTGAGATGTCGAAGAAATAGTGGAGTTGAGTTCCATTAAGAACCAATGCCAGTTATCGTCCGTCTCGGCGTCCACAACAGCAAATGCAACCGGGAAGATGCCGTCATTGCCATCTGCAGCTGTGGCAGATAACAGAACGCCTTGGTATTTCGAGTTTAGAGGAGTGCTGTCAAGGAAAATGAGAGGGCGGCAACCTTGTTGGAACCCCACAATGCAGGCGTGGAACGATACAAAGAGACGGTGAAAGCTGGAATCCTCCTTTGTGGTGAATGTAGCCACGCTCCCGGGATTAGTCTCCTTAATCTTCTCACAAAAAGAGGGTAACTGAGTATATGCCTCTTTGTAGGAGCCCTGAAGTTGTTCCCTGGCGATTTCTTTCGCACGCCATGCCTGCGAATAGTTCAACTGAATCCCATACTCCCTTTTGATGTCACTAGCAATATCCTTCGGCTTGTAATTTGGAGAAACTTTCAGCTTCTCCTTTATGATACTCCCAACCCAACCTCTTGTTGCGCGATACCCTGCTTTGACGGCAGCTCCTTCACACGTATGATGAGCGTGCATCTTCTTGATGCAAACCAACTGGGTAGTTGACAACCTTGATGCATAAATCCGCCACGGGCAGCCTTGAGACTTGCATTTGACAGTGACACGGTGGCTGTCATTTTTCTTGTACCTGTAAGCGAATCCATGTGCAATTGAGTATTTATGCAAAGCTTCCCGGAATTCGCTGAAACTGTTAAACCTTTGGTCCACACCAGTGATCGTGTTTTCCCACTGCTGTGCGGCTTTACGATGAGTGTCGTTGCTGGAACCAGGAGGAACAACCCGCAGAGGGGTTTCATAAGCGCTCAGATTATTTTGGTCAGTGACAGTGCCTGTTTCAGCTGCAACATCAGCACCCTCAACCACAGGAACAACTGCTTCTGACACAGTTGTCCTGCTTGACCTGCAACAGGTTCAACCGTATCTGTTACAATGCATAAAGGGATGCAATGAATCATGTATGATGCAAAAGTGACTACGAAAATGTGGGATATTTGATTTTGACGCAGCACCATAACAGAGTATATTATTAGGCGTTCATAAAACTAGAATATAACTTGTAAATGGTAAGGGGTAAAAGGAAAAAAAAAAAAAAGTTTGGGACAGAACACTAATTCCAGTTAAATAAAATCTAACGGAATTTTACACATATGCATCGTATTCTGATAAAATTGTTCATGATGTGTACCATTGCTCTTTTTAGCATTATTATTAGGGTATTTTTGGTGTTATAACCTGTTGATTATGTGCGTAGAGTGATGCTTACGCGGGCAGTCTAGTATTAGTGGGCTATGGCCAACAAGCCTATACAAAGGCTCCTATCTTGTCAATAATTCAGTTTTCCTACTATCTAATAAAATTTACAGCCAGAGCATTTCTTGAATGTCTACTGCACCAATATTTATAATGCTAGAGCATGTGAGTGTTGAAACATCATGTAAAATTGAGATATTTTTTGCACTTGGCATGCGGGCAGGTAAAAGAAAAAGACATAATCAAAAGAAGAAGAAAATGACATGATCTGGATACTAGAATTTAAGTACCTACTAGCGGGCATGTTGGATACGTTTCGCGCAGCGGCTTCCTCAGACATGATAAAGATCTCAGCGGTCGAGGAATCGCCGAGAAAGTTGAGCATTCGCTGCAAGTCCTTGTCCTTGGAGATGGTGATGAGAGTCTTCTTATTGCCGGGAAGGAAATACTTGAGGGTCATTGTATCAGTAGTGCAGTTAAACATATCGGCTAATTCGGACTTGAAGTCTTGGAGTTGTGTTTGGTGGTCAATGTCAAGTGCATAGGCCTCTCCTCCACTGTAGGAGAGGGACCCATCTTTGTTGGTCACGAATTCTCCACCAGACTGACATATTGCTATCACTTTCTTTGCATCCATTACCTACTAGTATTGTAAATCAAAAACATTCTTCATCACTAACAAAAACCACACTCAGCTATATCATACATATAAAGAACTTTTTAGAAAGTCTTGATTTGCACAATGTAAAGGTTCAATTCAAGAGCTGCCCATCAACAACAACAACAACAACAAAAAGTTATACTTTATTTATCTTCTGCAGTCATGACATGCTATCAATTTTAATCCAAACCAAAACATTGTTCAGTGACCAACAGAACCAGAATGAGATCAGGTATATATATTAGGTTCTGAAAAGTCAAGATTTTTGCACAGAATAAACAATGTAGATTTTCAATTTACGAGCTACCCAGACCAAAAACAAAAGAGACAATAATAACTCATAGCTAATCAACAGTAATTCAAACAACCAGAGAGAAAAACGGGTAAAACAAAAGGAAAGATAATTGATAAAAAATAAAAATAAAAAGTATGGAAATTTAGAATGCCGGATGCAAAAAAAAAAAAAACGCAGAAGACGTAAATAAAAACCCAAACAAAACCAGCTTATAATATATTGAGGAACCGTGAGAAATTTACACATACATACATATAAATATAAATATATATATATATATATAATTCCAATCCCAAACGAATGGAAAAGGCAAAACAAAACAGAAAGGAATTGTAAATAGATAGAAGAAAGCGCAAGAAGCCTATTAACGAGAAATTAAAAAACAAAAAGGACTAACCTTGAAGCCAGACTGAGAGAGAGAGGGAGAGAGAGAAGGGGATATGTGTTGCGGTTGGGGCCTAAATCCTAATTGTCTTTTGTTGTTGTCTTTGGTAGGTAAATGAATAAAGAAAAAAGAAGAGGGGTTATTTTGAATAAAAATAAAAAGTTGAGAGATTGGTCGAATTGGGAATTCAGGGTTTTTGGCGGTTGCAGGGGAA